TAAACATTTCAATGGCGGTTGAATCAAACTGGTCAATCAACGAGCACAGTGCACAACGTCATCTGTAAACGTTCCAATGTTATTCAACTGTCCAACAGAAACCTCTAGTTTCAGTTTAAAGTGTGAAACTTTTAAATATTTATAGATGTAGCGAATGCCTTTGTTGCGCTGAGAGTACTAAGTTGTATAATTATAAATATTTGTAAACATAATAGTTAAATAAGTTGCTTAAATTTCCTTGTCTAAGAATTATTTCCTTTTATAACTAGTGCCAAGTGGTTGATGATCATGGTCTCATCATCAAGAAATATCTTTTGGTCAGGTAATATTTGAATACCAGTGTTGTACTGAGTGAATATTTACAATATAAAAGCTAACAGTGCTAATGTGATAGTAAACAAATTATGAGAATAAAATCAATTCACTCACCTGCAAAACTATTTGATATGTCAAGTACATCTTTCCTGAGTGCACCAAGTAACACACCAACAACTCTCTTCTGGTTTCCAACTTTGCCCATTCGGTTGAAGTGGTCCACAACACTGAGCAAAACCAGAGGGTGTACCACCACCTTTTTTATCGGAGTACTTGGCAGAGACATTCCAATTACTCTGCTGTGTAAACTGGCATAAAATCGATTACTAGATCGCCTTTTGGTTCACGTCTTTAACTCATGGATTTCACAAACCCAAATCCGCCGGCAAAATCGTCAAATCACGCTTTCTGCAGCCAAAATCAAAATGGCGGATTTTCTGTAACTGCGCCTGCGTTGAAACTGTTCACCACGTTTTTAAAGAAAATATCACTACGCAATTAATTAGTGTTTCCTTAATAGTTACACAAGCGTACAATAGATACCCACATAGTTCAGACAAACAGTTGAAATCATTTTAGAGCGAAATTTGAAAGATTTCGAGAATATTTTCAATTTACCAAATTATTATGAAACTATGTTGTATGAGGGCGCTGTTTCCTCGCAATGATTCAATTTTATGTTCGAGGTGTTGCAAGTCTAATAGTGAAAGGTGAAGTGGGGTTCCCTTACGATAATGAACTGTTTACAAACAAATACTAGGAGTTGACAGCTTGTTAAGTTAGCAACGAAATCATTTTTATGCGAAACTAGCTTACATGCAATGGATGATCGCTAGTTTGTCCATGCAAAGTAATACTGACGACGCAATGGCAAATAATTGCTACCCATTGAAGCCGAAAATTTCCGAAACTGACGATCAGCATGAACGTTTGACGTCGAGACACATTGAAACGCTGGGATTTCTTCAGGAAGTTGTCCGAGAGAACAAGCGATTGAAGGCGACTGTGGATGAATTGCAGGTAAATATAAGGAAAATTCAAATCAAAATACAGAATGTACTGCCTGACACCTTAACTAAATCATAATGATAAAAAAAAAAACATTTCCAAAAATGGTGCTCATATACCTCGAGTGCTTCAACCACCTGCCGCAGACACGTTTATACACCAACATGTAAAGGATATAAGCATGTGTTGTTCTTGAAACTTATACCTTTATGGATGAGTGCAACTGCATTTAAAAAAAATCTATCGCACATGTCATGTGTCATAAAACACGCCCTTCAATTGGTCGTTAGACACGCTGTTGTCATGGTGAAGTAATTAGCCTTGCTGTCCAAAAAGTTGAAATGTTTCATTAGTGCCAGATGATTTATTCATGCTCTGTGTTTTGCAAATAAATGTTTTTTGTTGCTATTATCCCATGACGTGGTGATTAGTTGTGTAAATCTCTTTCACACTGGTGACCACCTTGCTGTGAGGCAACTAACATTTATGTGGTATGCTACTTGTTTTCAATTTAATTTTCATTGTAATTGATTTGCTTTTGTTGAGTTTTTAAAAATATGAAGAAGATATATTGTGCAAAAAGAGGGAAATGGAGTGTATGTGGAATGATAATTTGGAAACTGTTGTTATTGAGCGAGTGCTGGAAGTTTGTAGCCAGTTTAGACTTTTTTGTCCGGTTTGGTAAATGTCATGTGTAAAAGTGGTAAAAAAGTCTGTAGAGTTTATAGAAGCAAATTATTTGTTGATTTGTTAGTGTGTGGTATTTACAGCAGTACTATAGAATATAATTTTAGCTCAAAGCAGGGCAAAAATATATAGATTGTTGCAACAAACAACTTAAATGTACATGTATCATAAAATTACTAAGTTACTATGTATCTAGTATTAAACATAATCCATGGCTCACTTTTAAAGCACAAGCTTTCATGTCACCATGTACAAACTGGCCTTTATGGCTGGTGTGACTTTTTGTAACCAAGTCTTGATATCTGGGCCTAACAGATTTTTTTTTTTCACTTTTGCTTACCAGTAAAGTTTTTCACATACAGTAGAATGAGGATATGCTTGTTTTCTTTTTTTCAGAGGATCTTTTGTCAATCCAACTGAACCTTTAATGCATAATTTTATAGATGTTAAAATGTTGAACATATATTTCGTTATTTTAATATTAAATAATCTTAATTAAAAAATAAAAATAAAAAAACCTCATCATCTCATCAATTTATCAATTTGGACATTTTTTTTTCTTGGACTAACTTGGACTAATATTCAAAATATGTCAGATGTGTAAGTTGATTGCCAGAAATTTCAACTATTTTTCCCAGTCCTGGACTTCATACATAAAGTAGCTGGACCAGTAACATGTATAAGGTTACTCAGACACAACGTTACGCTCATTCACTCTCACTGTGATGGGATATTTTCTCTTGATAGCCTCTTATGAGCAAATGTGTACTGTAATTTACTGGATATTCGATAGCTTGGATCAATGATCTCATAGGTAGTTTTGTGGTTTTACTGCATTTGGTATTACATTCCACATTTTACAAAATAAATGATTTTGTAATGTGTAAAACGTTTTGAAAATATTTTCCTACCAGGTGACTGTTCAGGTCTGTTTAAGGGAAAATTATTTTTGTGACTCTTGCTTTTGCGACAAACTGGTATAGTTTGCATTAATTATTGGTCACTTTGGCATTTGTTTCGGGATTTGATACAATTTTTATATTTAGTTTGACTATTTTTTATCTTTTTGCAATTTATCCAGTGAAAGAGCCCTAAAAATTAATAATGTATAATAATAATAAAAAAAAAATATATGTGAGAGAAAATGTGAACAAGAACATTTGACTACTTTGAGGGATGGGGCTGCAATGTATGTAATGTATATTGTACTGCATAGTGAATAGGCATCATTGTGACTGGCAAATTACTAGTACTATATCTAGGGTTGGTATTTTGTTAGTAGAGAAAATGTGAACAAGAACATTTGACTACTTTAACTGTAGAATGACATGATTTATTATTGAATATGTAAATTTATGCCTAACACTATATTTGCTTTTTTAATAGCCTCTGCTTATTTTCTATCCAGAAATCCTCTTCTCATGTACAACAGAAAGCAACTTGCCAGCCATGGTATCATGAAGTGTGGGTTATAATAGCAGATATCATAATTAACATTGTATTTTGTTTCTTTGAATTTCATTTGCCATGTTTTGATCATTCCTGAATGTCTGTGGACACCTCCTAGATCACAGAGTTAATGTAACAAACAGTATTGCAATGATACAAGGGATGGATTGGTCCATAATGCCTTGTTCTGAATGCTTGGTACAAGGGAATGGTCCATAATGTCTTATTCTGAATGCCTGGTACATGGTACAAGGGATGGGTCCATAATGCCTTGTTCTGAATGCCTGGTAATTGGTACAAGGAATGGATCCATAATGCCTTGTCATTTGGTGGTGAATACCTGGTGGTTGGTTCAAAGGATGGGTTCATAATGCCTTGTCTGAATGCCTGGTAATTGGTACAAGGGATCGGTCCATAATTCCTTGTCATTTGGTGGTGAATACCTGGTGGTTGGTGCAAGGGTTGGGTCCATAATGCCGTGTCATTTGGTGGTGAATACCTGGTGGTTGGTGCAAGGGATGGGTGCATAATGCCTTGTCATTTGGTGGTGAATACCTGGTGGTTGGTGCAAGGGATGGGTATAATGCCTTGTCATTTGGTGGTGAATACTTAGTGATTGGTCCAAGGGATGGGTTCATTATGCCTTGGCATTTGGTGGTGAATGCCTGGTGATTGGTCAAAGGGATGGGCCCATAATGCCTTGTCATTTGGTGGTGAATACCTAGTGATTGGTACAAGGGTGTGTACATTAAGCCTTGTCATTTGATGGTGAATACCTAGTGATTGGTACAAGGGATGGGTGCATAATGCCTTGTCATTTGATGGTGAATACCTAGTGATTGGTACAAGGGATGGGTGCATAATGCCTTGTCATTTGGTGGTGAATACCTAGTGATTGGTACAAGGGATGGGTGCATAATGCCTTGGCATTTGGTGGTGAATACCTAGTGATTGGTACAAGGGATGGGTCCATAATGCCTTGTCATTTGGTGGTGAATGCCTGGTGATTGGTCAAAGGGATGGGTGCATAATTCCTTGTCATTTTGTGGTGAATACCTAGTGATTGGTCCAAGGGATGGGTGCATAATGCCTTGTCATTTGGTGGTGAATACCTAGTGATTAGTACAAAGGATGGGTGCATAATGCCTTGTCATTTGGTGGTGAATACCTGGTGATTGGTGCAAGGGATGGGTGCATAATGCCTTGTCATTTGGTGGTGAATACCTAGTTATTGGTGCAAGAGATGATTCTATAATGCCTTATTGGGTGGTGATTACCTAGTGATTGGTCCAAGG